TAATTTGAAGGTAATGTTTGCTCAATTTATATTGGTGTAAATACTCTTGCTGCTCTTGACTGTGTTTGATTTGTTGTTTTTTCTGAGAAGTAGTTTTTTCAGTATGCCTGTAATCTCTTTCAAGATTTTACTTTTCATCCCAAAGATATCAGAATGGACATAGTGCACCTTTAGAGGCATAAAATAAGATATGATGAGAGAAATGCCATAGTCCTGCTCGCTTTTGAACTGTATTTTAGATGTAAAAGCCTGGATGTCAGGACTTTTTGCAGCCGAGGCAGGACGAAACAAAAGCAGAGCGGCTCAGTGAGAGAAGCTGGTGTTCATACTAAATACACTGGGACTCACCCAAAGCTTGGAAACTAGAAACCCTGGTGTCATGATCCTGCCCCGCTGGCTTCTGGTTTCCCTGCTTTTACTCTGAAAGTACTTCCTGTCACCAGCTCATCCACAACCCCGGTAACTTCAGCTCATCATGCACATTGGTTTCACCTGCCACTAATCACCCACACCTGTTCACCACAGCATATAGCACACACACTGTGAGGAGCTGCCAGATTGTTCTATGCCTTGTCTAGACTCTCCAGCGTGTTCTTCTGACTGCTTTCCTGGTACTGGACCCTTGCCTGCTCCCTCTTGTCTGACTGCCAACCTGAGATCGACACCCTGCCTGTTCAACCAACCTGTGATTCTGCCTTACCTTCCCTGCTGCCCTACCGGAGACTTTGACCTTGGACCGTATTAAGTACCACTCTTCTGCCTGATCCCCCAAGACTGTGTGTTTTTCGGCTAAAATCACAAAAGGACATTAAAAAATCTGTTTTACTGCCTCAGCTGACTTGCTCTTTAATTGGGTTCACTCCTCCATCTTCACGGGAGCGTCACTCACCTCCGTAACACCTGGAGGGATATTTGACTCCGGTTTAGATTCTCAAGCTCATGTGTAGGGTGGCACACAAGCAGCATTTTATAATTTGAAGAACAATTTGAAAGTGAGGTTGTTTTTGTCTTTGCAGCCGACACACACTTTTTTTTTTTTACCATCAGGCTACGGAGCCATTACTCTAGAGCAGCCTTCCAGAGGACCTGAGAGAAAATGATGATATTTTAAACACAGACAAAATCCATCTGTTTAGCTTCTATGTAGTGTTTTACAGTTTCTGGAATTTTTAAAATTATTTTTATGGTGCTATGGGTGTTATCTTTTATTGAACTGCTCTTGCTGTCAGTCACTTGTAAAGCTCCTTGAACTGCATTCAACGTGTATGAAATAAAGTGTGATTGATTGATAATGATGAAGTGAAAGTAAGAATGAAAACTGCATACGTCTGGTGATGAGTTTACTCTGGAGTGAAATACTATTCGTTGCTGTTGCAGAAATGTCAGAAAGCACTTACTCGTGAAGAGTGAGAGGACGGAGGACAAAATAAGTGCCTGCCTGTCACGCAGCATCATCATGAACGACATGACAAGATGTGTGTGGGCTCTTGACAGATGTTGGCAGGGAAGATAACGGACAGCAGTGTCTTAAACCAAAAGAAAAGACCAAATCAGGGAGGGAGAGAGTGTGCGATGACAAGAGACCAGTCAAAACAGTGCATCTCTCCACTGACTAATAGATGCTCCCAGTTCTGGCATCATGTGCTGGTGTTATGTGCAGGTTTTCAGTTTAGACGTTCAGTGACACAACAGATGCCATACAATACATTGGTTTGTCCAAGACCATCAGAATTTAATAAGTGAGTGCATTAAGCAAAACAAGAGGCAAAAAAAGTTGGCAACCTATAGGCAGTAAAGGAAAACCTCAGATGTACACACATCATAGTGTGCTAGAACTTAAAAGCACATTAAAATAAGAGAAGTCCATTTATGTAGCACCTCTCAGGAGCAGGCGTCCCCTCACGTTATTCTCTAAATGTTCTCCTGCCGTTGCTTTATCGATCATTCTGTCTGAGTGAGCGGATTCATATTTAATGGATTGGCTTCAACACTGATTTATTCATTTTTTTTATTGACGGTTAACATGTTAACGTTTTATCTGGTGCCTTCTGTGCAGTCTGTTTGTAGCCACGTTCTGTGTCGGTTTGTCACCTTGGATCCCCAAAAGATGAATCTTAATGACTTTGTCTCCACTTACAGTATCTTTCTTCTATAGCCATCAGCCTGACATATGTATCTGAACAACTGGAGGAGTTGCCATGCAGTTTGATACGAACCCCCATGTCCACCCCATGGCAGAAATTGTACTCTCCTTGGTTAACCTTTAACCTGTCATCTAACAGCAACATTAGGTCAAACATTTTAATTGTTCACAGCCCATGACATTCCCGTCAGCCTCAGCTGGGCTTGTGTAGAACTAATTAGCAAACACAATAAACTTGGCACCAGAGGGTAGCACATTACCGTTGTCTTTCTATTTGCATAAAGCACTGCTAGCATGGCACCATCCATGTGTTTTCTGAGTGGAAAATTAGAATATTCCAAAAGAAACCCCTTAATATAGCAAAAAGTTGTTTTGCTTGGGTGAGAAAAGCTGACGTATCAGTAACAGGATTAGTGAATAGGTCAAAGGTCAAGGTCAAAGTGTTTTATTTGTCATATGCACAGTTAGGAAACGTGTTTCCCTGTACAATGAAATTCTTACTTTTCCGTCCACATGAATGCCACAAAATACAAATGAAATAGAAAAGTAGATGACACAAAATCTAAGAATTGTAAATAATGTGACTTTGACGTCACTTAGGTTTCCACTGAAGAGAAAACATCCAATCTGTGTTCATCTGGAAACCTTCGGAGCATATTACACTTACCCTTAATAACAGTGTAAATGGTTTAACGTAGTGGTTCTCAGCCTGGGGGGGTCGTGACTCCCTAAAGGGTCCCCAGAAAGTGAAAAGAACTTCTACTTGTTTCTAGTGTAAATCAACTGAATGAAAATTACATATAATACTTTAATGTGGCGATCTGACGTCTGCGTTTCATGGACCCAGCTGATTTCTCTACAGATCTCTTAAGGTTTTTAGGACGTAACAGAAGTAAGGACACACAGAGATAAAATAGGGACTTTGTATCTACAACGATTAAAGGGATAAGAGAGACATTTTTCGAAATCGGCTGTTCTGCCCCCCCCGTCCCAGCAGCTACTGATGACTTTTCCAGGCCATTTAATATTGTTCAAATCAAATGGAAGAAAAACACACAGCTCGTGTCCTCACTGAGACTCAGGTCACAAGTTGTAGATCCTGGTCTAGTGAGCTGTTTCCCTTTATGAATATTGGCCTGATTCAAGGCTTTCCACACTTGTGATTGACAGATGTATTGACATCTGTTTTTCTTCTGATATGACTGATTACTCATCAACTAAGGATCACAAGTTGTGATTTATAAAAGGAGGCAGGAAAAGACTTGTTTTTGTCCCTATTCACCGTCTTCTTTCCTTTTTTTCTGCTTTTTTTTTGCGATTGATCTTTGAGTTTTGAAGGCGGATGTATTTAATGATTGTGGTTTATAAAGAAGCTGACACCCTCTTTCATCAGCCCTCATATCGCTGCCTGTCTGCTGTTGCTCATCACTGGCGCTTCAGCAGCACAATATTCACTTGTTTTTCGGAGGAACAAAAACAAGCACGAGGTGGTCTTGTCCTTGAGAAACAAACGCACAAATGCAAACACAAAGAAACCCACACATCTAGGCAGTCACAGGCACTCGCACAACCTTTCAGACTTAACAAGCACACACACACACACCCTTCTGAAGGTACCATTGGTGCGCTGGGTATCATCCTAAATTAAACCACATTTTCCAGGACAACTTGTAACTGTAGTTGCTACCTGAATCGGTTCACAAGCAGAATGTTTGCTCTGGCAGTAGTCGCTTGAGGAGATCCTTTAATAATTGATTTCATCCTAAACTGTTTGAATGTTTGATAACTGTGATGGATCCTGTTGGCAGAAATGTGCTAACTCCTACACTGAAGTATCCCCGCTTCACCACACAACCTAGATCCCTCTCAAGTGTGTGTTTCTGTGTGCAGTCTCTCACTGACCATCAGTTACATGTGAAGAGGTAATGTGTGTGTGTTAACCGCTGAAACCATAGTGCTTAGATGCAGGTGTGTGTTTCCAGTGAGCTGTAGCTGCAGGTATCACTCAAATGCACATGAACACACTCACACATGAGGCAGACGTTGTGCGTTTCTGCCTAAGAATGTTAGTGAAAGAGTTTTCTTCTTTTGAGTGGGAAAATGTTATGAAAAGCAAAAAACAAAATCACCAAATTATAAAAATACTGATGTAAAAGAGGAACATTTATGTTTGGGAGTTAGAGTTGATAAGGAGAAAAGACGCTCGAATTTGTGACCTTGAATTGAAACGGCCAACTAGGCCACACCAGCCTGTGTGTGTGTGTGTGTGTGTGTGTGTGGTAGATTCATCTGAACTCAAGCTGACCTGTTTGTGCTTCTGCTTCTTCTTACACTTCACGGAAGGCTGACTCAGTGCAGAGCTCCCTTTGCATGCATGCTTGTTGTTTTTCTAAAATTATGTAAACAAAGGAACTGTGAAGAATTCAGATCAGCGTACAGTGCAGGTGCCCATGTACAGACGCTCACCCACACACACAGCACACCACATGTACGGTGGCATAGACGTGCATTAATCGGAATCATCTTTAATGGCCACAGGAATTTGACTCCTGTACAGAGTCTCTCCTCATGGCAGCAGGAAATAGAAAAGAACAATGAGAATAATAAAATCAATAAAAATAAAGAGTGTGTGTATAATGCAAATAAGTTATTGCTATGTTGTCCAACAGAATCTGCACAGCAGTGGCAGGTGGAAATTTAGAGAGATGAATCTGTAGTGGTGAGAGATTAAAATGGAAGAGGAGGAGAAACTGACATTTACTGCCTCTTACAAACATTCACTTGTTGTCCTGTTTTAATATGTAGGATGATGCACATCTGATCTACGATCTCTCTCTCTCTCTCTCTCTCTTTTCAGGACCCAAGGTCAAAGCACAAGTTTAAGATCCACACCTACTCCAGCCCGACCTTCTGTGACCACTGTGGTTCTCTGCTCTATGGCCTCATACACCAGGGCATGAGATGTGAACGTATGTACTCTGTGCACAGTCCATGCACGTCTAAGTCTTTTGCATTAACCATGTTTTCGGTCACATGCTGCGTCTTACTGTTATATCTGGACGGGTACATCTGCAATTACTGATACTGTATATATCCAACTCCAGCTTCGCCTTTGCCTTTAATTATAAATGTTACACCTTTATTGACACTCTTAAAAAATGCTGCCATATATTAATAATATAAATAATTTATACTTTAGTGTTGCTGTATATTCTATTGCACTGTCTTTGCTGGCACACATATAAAGAAATGCTCTGTGTTCACGCCTCAAGTAAATCTGTGTGTGTGTGTGTGTGTGTGTGTGTGTGTTTCCAGACTGTATGATGAACATCCATAAGCGCTGTGTGGCCAATGTGCCGAGCCTGTGTGGGACAGACCACACTGAGAGGAGAGGTCGCATCCAGATCACAGCTGAGATCAAGGCTAATCTACTCACTGTTACCAGTACGTGTGCCTCCGACACACACACACACACACACACACACACGGTAGACAGTAGTCAGACATCTGCAGACATGACTTCAGTTGTTCCTGTAGAATACCAGTCACCTGTCTCCCTCTGCTGGTTCACCTGCAGAGGTGACAACAGAGCTCATGAGATGAGGCTAAGAAAAGATGTTGGTATCATTTTGTGTTCATTACATGTGGGTGTGATGTCACCAAAGTGCACTGTGAGCGTACTGCGTCGCTACACTGTACTTCATAGGAACAAAACGTATGTGAATGTGAGTTGATACAAAGACTGAATCTGCCCATTTTGGGGCGGAATTATTTTTGATTAAAGAGTTAAAAGCATGTGTTTTTTCCCAGTTTAAAAAAAACATGTGGCACAAATATTTTTATGTAGGACCAAGTATGATGCATGACTCTGATGCTTCATGCCCAACACATCTAGCCACCTGTAGTAATATGTGATACAGACTGCAAGGACCTTATCGGCCTTTGCCTAGAATTTTGCAGCAGCTTGTAATCTGGTTTTAGCAAGGAAACAAACAGGAGGTGTAAGGTATATTTAGTTCTCTTAAATTTATATCATTTTTATTCTATTACATCGCCATGTGTCCAAGCAGCAGGAGAAAAAGAGGAGTGGGAACACTTTGTGCAGTAGGTCACACACACACCGTAGCATTTGTATTTTGCTGCTGGGTTGATGACTGAGAAGAGACATCACTAGTCTCACTGTCAATAACACACTAACTTCACTTACAGTATTAGCAGTGGGCAGGTTTTGGTCGCAGCACAGGGTCTGTTTTATTTAGCTCTTGTTTTAAAAAATGCACATTATATAAATCTCTGTATGTTTTTATGTGTGCAGAGTCTCTCCTAGCTCAACTTTACCTTCATGGCAAATAAGTAAATGATGATAGTCAGTTGCCTTCACTTTGATATTATGACTTTTAAGCCATAAGATGCAGAACAATAACTGGTAGGCAAGTAAAGGGAGGCAACCAGCCACTGTGGAGGTGTTCTTGCACTGGTATCTTAAGAGAATGCTGAAATTAATTTTGGTTTTCACTCAATCGACTTCAGATAGTGATTTCTAGCAGTTTGGTTTCAGACCCATTGATCAGATTGTTCATATATTGTGGAAGAGGACAAACTTTCTGTATTTCCAGAATGTCTTTAGTAACCCCCAGAATGGGATTTAACCATAAGTGTTGGACGTCTGCAGGTCTTGACAGCAAAACTGATTGTGCTGATATACAATAGGCTGAAAAGCAGAAGCTTCTGCTTTCTGTTCTGGTGTGCTGAGAATACTGTGGGTGTTTGCTATGTGATTTCTTCCCGTCTGCTTGTTGACTGAAACAGGGAGATTCTTACTTTTATTCTGAGGTGACACTAACCATTACTACACACATGTTCACAACTCATCTAAGATTGTGACTGTTGCTAGCAAAATAATTCAAACTAGTTTTCATTTTATATGAAAAGGAACTGCCTTTAATAACATATTTACATTATTTAGTTAAAACTAACAAATTTACCTTCACATTTAGTTAAATTAACTAAAGTCGTTTCTCTTGCGTCGTCTGATAAAAATGATTAAGTTTTGTGCCAGTGAAATTAATCTATAGTGACAAAATGCCTCACATGAACAGTTCTTATTTTGGAGTAAAGAGGTTGAATCTGGCTTCACATTTTATCTGGAGAGATTTTTCTGCCTTTTCTAATTTAAGTAACTGAAAAATGAGAATACATCATCGCCATGCTGTTGTAGTGGTTCGTGTTACCTGCAGGGGGCGGCAGAGGTTGATATTTTCTTTGTGCCTGTCAGCTCCGTTACAGCCACTGTCCCGGATGCATTCATGACTGGATTTCTCAAACAACAAACTTAAATTACTTAAAACCTTTTGGCAGAAATTAGACTTCATTGCTATCCTGTGTCATGTGGGATGAAACCTATTTGTGGTGCCATTCTGAATGAGTTCAGTTGGCTTTTGTAGAATAATCCACAGCATCTACGAACTTCCAAGGTGTGTTATCTAATATACATCCACAGTTAATCTTATCTCTTTCACCATGGCTGTGCCTTATACCTCTGTGGTGTACCCCGAGCTCTGTGGGGGGGGAAAAAAAGCTTGAGTAAAATTTAGCTTAGTACTTAAAGAAAGGTACAAACTATTTCTTGCTGTAGGAAAAAAGATTTTCAGGTCGGCTTTTAAATTAAGAAATGTTTGAAAAATATAAACCGCCTCCAGTAAATACTACTTAAATAGTTATGAGAGCTTTATGAATATCCTAAAAACAGACGATAGGCTCGTTGCCAGTGCCCATGTCAGCATGCTAAGATGTATTCCTTGCTTGGTCTCTCATTGGGTTTAATCCTTTTTCTTTCTTTTCTCTCTTCCTGGTTCCTATGCTCATAGACTGATCATCCATCCATTATCTAAACTGTTTATTCCTGCACAGACTGATTATTAGCTGAGATTTCCTATGGGAACTGATAAAAGGGCAGACACTCAGACTGCTAGGACAGCAGTAAAGGATCACCTTCACATGTGCCAAACAGTATAATACAATTAAAATACAGCCACATGAAGCTAAACTGTAGGAGCTGTCATGGACAACGGAATGCCAGCTACTTTATTTTATCCAGTTTAGTCATGTCTGTCTGTGTGTATCGTTGTCACAGCCAAGAATAATTTTCTTCAATACTCCTACACTTAAATGTGAAAATGCCATGTTTGTGTGTAATACACTCCTGTCTCCAGACAAAATCCTTCAAGCATTTTCCCGTGGTTTATGTTCATTTAGAGGCACAACACTTGTTTGTGTCCACAGGGGTCAGTGTGGAGCCGTCAGCAGCTTGCTCCCTCATTGCAGAGAGGTGAGGAAAAAGCACCACAGAGAAAGAACTGTAGCACCATTAGGATTTATTCTACAGCCTAGCAGGAGCTAGTGGAAATGGCTGCTACACTGTGAAATGCATTCGTGATGTCTCATATAAGATAAGATAATCCTTTATTGTCACTGTAACACGTACAATGACATTTTAGAGTGACCTCCAGTCGGTACAGCAATGGGAAAAAACATAACATATGAAATAAGACCATATAAAAAAAACCTAAATGCTAGAAAAACAAAATAAGCAGACCTCTCACGCCCCCTCACACCCACAGGCATATTATATTTTAGCAGTATTGAGTGTGGTAACTGCTGTTGAGTAAAAACTATTCCTGAATCTAGTGGTCCTTGGTTTGATTGCTCTGAACCGTCTACCTGACGGCAGCAGTTCAAAGAGTGAACGTCCTGTGTGTGAAGTGTCCTTAATGATGTTCTGGGCTTTTTGGAGGCAGCAGGAACCATGTAGTTAGTGAGGAGAGAGCCGCCGACAATCTCCCTGGGCCGTATTAATGACCCTCTGGAGCTTTTTCCTCTGAGCCACTGTGCTGCTGCTGTACCATACACATATACAGTATGTAAGGATGCTCTCAGTGGAGCACCGATAGGACACCAGCAGTCTCTGGGAGATGTTGTTCATCCTGAGCAACTGTAGGAAGTCCAGTCTCTGTTGGGCCTTTTTAAGCAGTCCAGAGGTCAGATCCTCCCAGAAAGCAGAAGGCCACCACCCTCTCCACACGGTCCCTGTTGATATACAGTGGCAAGATGTCGGTTTTCTTCCTCCTGAAGTCGACAATGACCTCCTTAGTCTTTGAGGTATTAAGGAGCAGATTGTTCTCTCTGCACCACACTATCAGCCTCTCCACCTCATCCCTATAGGTAATCTCATCCCCCCCATAGAGATAAGCCCCGCCACTGTGGTGTCATCAGCAAATTTTACAATGGTGTTGCCGTGGTGGGCGGGGGTGCAGTCGTGGGTGTACAGGATGTAGAGCAGGGGACTCAGCACACAGCCTTGTGGGGAACCAGTGCTGAGGCTAAGAGCTGTGGATGTGTGTGGACCCATTCTCACCCTCTGGCTTTGTCTGAACAGGAAGCTCTTAATCCATATGAAGGTGGGATATGGAATTCCCAGGTCCACCAGTTTGTGGGGGAGAATGGTGTTGTTGATGATGTGCAGCCCCTACCCTGTGAGGACATCAGAGCTCAGGGCCAGTACTAGAACAGCATGTCAGAATCCAGCTCAAGGATTCTCCATTTGGGGAGAAAGCAGTGGGACATAAGCCTGGGGCTTTGAAAGGTGCCCCCTGCCGCTGGTAGTGCACTCATGCTGTATGATGACTCTGGGTGTGTCGGCTTAACAGTTTCATTAATTTTATGTACAACCAAAATCCAAATCATGATCATGGTCAGCTGTTGACATCACCTGTTTCAAATGGAATCATCATTTCATTGTTTTACCTCATTACTGGCCCTGAAATGCATTTGAACAAAGACTAAAACTGATGAGGTATCACATCAGATAGCGAGTTGCTGTATTGTACAGGACACAAATGATTTACACATCACTGTTTTCATTTTCCACTTTACATACTGTCCCAACTTTGTCTGATTTGGGGTTGTACAGTTAAGACCATGTCAACATTTTTGTACCCATTAAATCTAGAGCAGATGCTGGTCTTTCAGGAGGGGATCTCAAGTCTTTTTATCAGGCGCCTTGGTGCTGCTTGTAGCACCGCTTGAGTTTGCATTGTCCCTGTCTGTCCAGATGAGCCAAGCTGAACTTATAACAGTGCTCACCATGAATGTCAATACCATTTGACACTGCCTCAACGGGAATTACATGAAAAACGTTTCACTAGTTTTGCAGCACATTCTCTGACAAGTAGAAGAACATAAGGATCCTAAGGAGCCATTTCATATGGGAATAGTTGCATTTGCAACACCCATACTGCTGTGCACATACAGTATTCTGCTGTTACTGCACTCTTATCTCCACTCGCCATCCTTGTAGACTCACATACACATGTTATTTCCCTCACACACACACACACGTGCTCTTGGCAGCTCATAATGTATTCAAGCAAAGCAAAAAGTTCACCTAGTTCAGACCCATTCACTCACTTACAAGACTGTAAGTGTCCTATGAGACTATTTGGCATGCTCCCCTCTTTATAGCTCCCCTCTACCAGCATTTGATGGTCACTTTAACAGGCATCATCTAATATTTATTGACGTGCTGAGGGTTTTAAGCAGGCTACTGGATCTGGGCTGTGGTTAAATCATACAGTAGCTCTTTAACAGGATGAAAACCTCATTTCTCTGACATCTTGAGGTTTTCTCACGCCTCAAGCTCACTGAGACGTTTTTTCAGTCCTGAGTTTCAGTCCACCTTAAAGTGCACTGAGGTGACAATACAAGAAGGGCCTGCTTCCACATTGTGTGGCATTTAAATGTGACATTTTTAATCCACATAATTTGTCTTCTGATCATGACAACTCCATAATTTTGCTGTACAGAACATGCTGTCTTCTCCTTTCTCCGCTATTTCTAGCAGCCCTTTGTTAGCTGTGAAATGAAGTCCAGGTGCAGTCTCATCTACCTACTGTTTCTTCATTTATTCTCTGCAGCATAATTAGCTGTCAGCAACCATAATTACCTTTATTTTGATTACCCCACCCTGTGTCTATGATTTACCACTGATGCAGGGTGAGTAGAATAGGTCTGAGCCAAAATGAACCTTTGGAAAACCTATCTGAACTCAGATTTCACAGATTTTCATCAAAATAAACCTGATCCAAAAGGGATCAGACAGATTTGGTCTGTAATTGACCAGAAATAGATAAGACTGAATCCAAACACACCCAAAACAATGTCAGTTCACATTACCACCTTGTGTCAAAAACCCATTGGTCACGTGCAATGACTGTGACACACCACACGACCAGCGGTGACACCAACCTGAGCCTTGTGGCACTACTTGATTAGACTGGGTATGAATGGCATTGTCAAACCATCTTAGTCCTGAGGAGTTGATTTGACCTGTGAGTAACATGTCAGTCCATGTGGCTTCAGCTGTTTTGTGCCAAAGTAGTGTGAACCCTAAAGCAGCTAAGTCAAAGTGCAAAAACACAAAATGCAAAGGATGACCACATTGTTAGTGTTAGACTGCTAACTGAGTACAGACAGATCACATCTGTCACATCTGTTTCATCACCAGAGAAAGACTCTGTTAAATACATTATTCAGCTACATCAGCTAAGTGCTTTGTGCTATGTGTGTGTTTATGTATGGGGGAGGGGAAAGGTTCATGTGTGTGTGTTTGTATATGTGTGTTCTTGATTGCTTCTCTAGCGAGCTGCCTGAGACACAGCAGCACCAGCTTCTGCCTCTGGTAATTGGATGTGACCTCACAACTTGACCAGCAACAATAATTGCACACACACACACACACACACACACATATATATATATATTCACATACACTCCAAACTCAGTTGCAGGGGATTTTAAGCCTGTGGAATACAATTACAGCCCAGTAACAGACAGCCACAAAAGGAGGATTAGTGTAGGAACTGGCAACCTTCATCCATCTACATGGTCATTACGGACAGATCTGGAAACCCAGGGCTTTAACCCCCAGTACATCTCTAGGGTCCTGATGTGTATGTTTGTGTACCTAATTTAATTAGTTGGTTTCAGCGGAGAATTGCGGCGTCGTATCATTTACCAACCATGCATTTTTCACACACAAGTCTTGAACTGAACACCTGCCATCCTGCTAAATATGGATAAAGACTTATTGTAATGTCATTGACCAGCTACTTTCAGGTTCTGAATTAAAATCTAATTGAACAGCACAGTAATGAGAGGTGCAAAGTTTCCATTCATGCACACCACCCACAGCGTGGTACGTGCAAAAGGTGTGAGTAGAGAGGAATATAAATACAGTGGTGTGGTGATGTGTAATTATTTTCTCAATAATCTTACTCCTTGTTTCCCCTTTAAAGAGGAATGTCCGTACCAGCTTAGCAGGAAAATAATGTTTTCATCCACAGTGTTCACAGTTTGGAAACACAGCACATATATATAAAACAGGTAGTAAAAAGAATAACCTGAGAAGTTCTACACAGTAACCAAGCTGCAGTTACAATTGTTCTCCTTTTCCCTACCTCTCCCCTCAGTCAAAGAGGGCAGGAATCTGGTTCCTATGGACCCCAACGGTCTGTCAGACCCTTATGTGAAGCTTAAGCTGATCCCAGATCCCCGCAGCGAGAGTAAACAGAAGACCAAGACCATAAAGTGTTGCCTCAACCCCACCTGGAACGAGAGCTTCAAATTGTAAGGCTATGTTACACCGCGCTTGTTGGTTTCTAATTTATCTTGCTGTTCATCTCTGTCCCTTGTCTTTCCCCATTCTGTCTCCATTTGTTCTCTTTTATCGTTCTCACTCGCTCATTTCAGTGTTTTAGAAACATCAAATTATGGTCATCTTTCCAAGCAGGTGTAACTGCAAAAAAAACTGTAAGAAATACTTAATAGGAGAAGGTCAAAATATATACAGAAATAAAAAAACACGTACGGTGTTATCAGATTGTTGCTTGTCCTTGTTTCTCTCCCAGCCACCTGAAGGACTATGATAAGGACCGCCGTCTGTCGGTGGAGGTGTGGGACTGGGACTTGACCAGCCGCAATGACTTCATGGGATCACTGTCCTTTGGGATCTCGGAGCTCCAGAAACAAGGAGTGGATGGATGGTGAGATGAAAGGAGGGATGAGTGCAAGGAGGGGATGGAGAGACGGGCAGAGAAACAGCAGGGGTAGAGGAGGTGGAGGAGCGAAGGTGACCTTGTTGTAATAGTTTGGTTGGAGTACCTCTTTTTTCAAATCCTACTGCTACTCACTGCCAAAGCATCTCTACTCCCCCCACCACCCCCCATCTCAGTCTCCTTATCTGTGGATCTTCCTTTCTTTTTGCTGATGCTGCCCTGTCAGGGAGTTAGATGAGATGCCAGCATTCGAGGTGGAATGGTGGAGGTGGAGCGATGCCATTAAGATGCTGGTATTCGGAGCAGAGAGCACCTGTGCAAGTGTGTTTTCCTCTGCACCATCTTTGTGCAGCTCCAAAGCCTCACGCCTGTGGCCCCACCAGCCACATTTTTCCATGCGCTGTTGCCCTCTGTGGGTGGTTTGAACTCCTCAGACCTGACATCAACTCGTGTTGCTGATGTATATACAAGCCTAACAAAATGTCCTTGGTTGGAATCTTTTACTCCTTCACATGTTGTGTAGAATATAAGCCACTGGACTCATCCATCTAAGTTTCATAATGAGCCACATAAAATATTTCAACCTCTTGTGGTTTGCTGACAAACAACAACATGGCTAGTGATGACTATAGCACCAAACAATCCTGTAAACAAAAAAAAAGTAACGGGTTATTGTTGGCAAAATGATCACAGACCTCTGGGAAGATGAAACTCTAAGAAAAACAGGAAAATCAGATTAGTTGTGTAAAAGTAAAAAGGTGAGAAGCACTAACACCCAACACAGTGTTGTTTCTACGATGCAGTGAAGTGTGAGGCTGTAAAGGGGCCAATGTCAATTCTGTTGACTGTGTGAAATGATAATCACAACCAGCTTTATTGGGCACACGAAGACTGTGACTCAGGTACAGTGGGCCTCAGTGTGTATGTACAATGTTCTTCTGTAATGATAAGCATCCTGTCTGTGCCTTGGTCTTTGATTCTTCTTACAGACTGTACATCGCAGCACTAACCATCAGCAGCTTCAGCTAAAGGTGGCAGTTAATTTGTATAAACTAACTGGGAACTGATTTGACTGGAAAACTTCTCTCTTCAGGTTTAAGCTGCTGTCCCAGGAAGAAGGCGAGTACTTCAATGTCCCTGTTGCTCCAGAGGGGGAGGAGGGCAGCGAGGAGCTACGGCAGAAATTTGAGGTGTGTGTGTGCATTTGTTTTTTTGTGTGTGTGTGTGTGTGTGTGTGTGTGTGTGTGTGTGTGTGTGTGTGTGTGTGTGTGTGTGTGTGTGTGTGCACGTGTGTGTGTGTGTGTGCACGTGTGTGACTATGCATCTCTGTGTCAGAGTGAGAGCCTCTCTGGGAGAGCTGTTAGCAGTTGGCAGGCGCACTTATAGTACCATCCGGTCTGGCACACTGCAGGTCCAGACGTGTGTGTGTGTGTGTGTGTGTGTGTGTGTAGGGGGGGCTGACCAGTAGGCCCACTCATTAACACATTTGGCAAAGGAGAGGATAACCCTGCTTTGTGCTTCTGCTCCTTTTCTTCTCTTTTCCACTTCACCTTCTGTCTTGACACTAAGCCACAAAACATCACTCATTCTAAAATGTTTGATCAATTTAGTTATAAAACATTAAAACCTAAACAGTTTCTTGCTAATAGCTAGATGAGAAGGTTGATGCCACTTTCACTTCTGTATGGCAAATATGAAGCTACAGCCAGTAACTATTTAGCTTTGCTAATATCTACTGGAGCTTGGTTCAGTCCACAGTCTGCCTACGTCATCACCCGGGAGTCAGGGACCACACAGTTGTCCTTTGACGTGTTAATTAGTGAGTGTTAGATGTTCTGGTTGGAAAATGGGTGATTTACCTGTAAACAGAACCAGAACTTGAATAACATGTTTTGAGCAGCTGTTATTCAGTAATGTGGTCCCTCCAGGCTCCAGCCCCACTGCAGCCCTATTCAGGAATGAGCCGTATAGATAATGGATGGATGGATAATGAAAATGTAGGATTTTAGGACACAAACTGTTTGAACTCCTCCCCTCTGGACGGTGCTACAGGTCACCGTGACGCCGTATAGATAATGGACGGATGGAGTTGAAAGTCTGGATGTTAGCTTTATGGGGAGGTGTTGTAGCCTTCTCTCCTCACTTTGCTTCCCTGTCTCTCCACCAGTTATCTGGTTTGATCTCTGTCACATTCGCTGGCCCCCTGTGTCTTTCTCTCTCATTATCTGTTTTTCTTGACTGCCGTCTCCTCAAGGTCATGGTCCTCAGATGTTCACTGAGACGAACTCTGGGGGGTCTGCTCACACACACACACACATACAGGACACTCACAATAATAAATAATGCATGTTGTGAGTGTGCACGCACACACACATATTCTCAGCGGCACTCACACATTATTCAGGGGAAGTTGAGGAGCAGAAAGTGAATGTCCTTAAATTGGTTATTCTTATTTAAAGCTAAAACAGACAGTGGTGGATTATAACTAATGACCTGCACAAATACTGTCCTCATGTAGTTTGGAGGTACTTGTGCCTTATTTACATTTTATGCAACATGCACAATTTAGAAAGAAGTATTTTACTTTCTAACCCACCTGGACATTTTGTCAGATTTGTCTTTCTCCGGTCATTCATTTTATGGTGCTGTGCACACAAAACACTCAGACACATGATTATAGAGAGAGAGCGAGCGGCATTAATCTCTTAAGGCTTTGACAGCGTTGCCTTCAGCATGCTGTGCTGTGCTGCTCACTATACCTTGACTGCTTCTCTATATGTGCGTGTGTCTCAGCAGATGGAGACAGATAGAGCCTTTTATCCATTGATGAGCCAAAAACAGTATGGGTTGCATCACACACCCACACACAGAGAAGAGCAGTAGAGTAGCTGTCTGTCTTTTTTTTTAAGACAAGGCAATGGAGAAATTACTGCAACTGCACAGAGAGAGACAGAGAGAGAGAAGTGCAGAGAGCCTCAGTGTGGATCAGCCATTTAGGATAAGATGAGATAAGATAAGATGTAATCCTCTGTTTCTGGTGTGCAAGCATGTCGTGAATGTTAAAATCCATTTTTTAAACTGAAGCATGGCCTAACAAAGTGGAGAATACAATTATAGCAGATGTTTCTCACAACAGAGGTCGACCAAGAGTATGACAATGTCAAACAAGCAGAGAAAGAGAATCAGAAATGAATTAGAGACAAGGGGAGAGAGACAGGGACGTGGTGATAGACATGAACGAATTGAGAACTCAGAAATCCAGGCCAAGGTTATGAAGATGAAGTGGAAATGAATTATTTTAGAGAAAGTGAGATGGTACAAAATGTTCAGAGTGAGAAGGAGCGAGTGGTTGTAGGACAGAATCAAGGGAAGTACATATTTGCCACTCCACATCTGCCTGTAACTAATATGTTTTCACCTTCATCGTCTCTCGCTCACATCTGCCCATAGGCAACTCTATAACAGCTTGAGCTGTTCTAGCACTGAAACAGTTTGTTTATGAGAATGGTCTTTATTTCTGGTAATTAGACTAATGTATAAAAGTTACACCGAGTTTAAAATGATACAAATAGAAGTCTAAATCCTGGACATATGTGGGTGGGCTAGGTGAGTGAATGCTGCTGAAAGGCTCTCTGTCACCAGCTGCACCAACTCACCCCTGTGTTAGTGCACTTAGAGGCTGTAGTCGCTGTGAATGTTTAAGGTTTTGTCTAATCTAGTCCCATGTTGTGTCTTTCCTCCATCTAGAGGGCTAAGATTGGTCCAGGCAAGAGCGCAGACGGCAAGTCGGCCAACGCTGCATCCCGGTACGACTCCAGTGGCAACCAAGACCGCATGAACCTGTCGGACTTTAACTTCCTGATGGTGTTGGGAAAGGGCAGCTTTGGAAAGGTGAGCGCATCATGTCCATGTATGTGTACACCTCTCATGTCTGGTATTCTGTAGGTGACATGTGCCTGTTTTAGTATGTTGCTATATATTCTATATATTCTTCCATGAATCTTTACATTTCACCAAATGTTAACATGCGTGTTTCACTGAGGAGGGTCCTACATTATTAAAATAACTTCAGCTGATGGTTACACGGTAAATACTAAAATGTACTGTAACACTAGCACAGGAACAGAATAGTCATGAAGTCAGCAATGTCTAAAGGTCTGGCGTTTGCTAACATTAGGCTGTAGCTGAACTGAACCGGTGTGTGTTTTATGTCTTATGTACTTTTCGGTCTTAAGAGGAATATTGTGTTTTGTCTTCTTTCAAATGTTCCATAGTCTTGCCTCAAGATCACAGCAGAAAAAACGGCAGCTGTGACAAGTTCGATTACTTTCTCTTCACAACTTCCTGCAGACTTTATGTCACGTCCTGATGCACTGCTCCAATATTTCATCCACCTAAAAGTGATACCTGCTTGTTGGTGGAGGTCATGGGGTGGGGGCTGGAGCCTTTCACCTGGGACAGGTCGCCAGTCAATTGATACATAGACACAGACAACCATTCATGCTCAGACGATTTAGGGTCGCATGCACCTGTGAACACACAGATTAAGCAAGTATATTTGCACTATAACTATATACTGTATGAGCATATGTGTGTTTTTGCATTAGAGCTCTCTAATCTAACACACAGGGATCAATACGCAGAGCTGAGGAAAGGAAAGATGGACAGAAACACCTAGATCAAGATAGAAAGAATAAAGGTGATGAAGTGCAGCTTGACAGAGATTGATGAAGGGGATGGTGTGACAAGAAGAAAGAACGCTAAACGGAAAGCGGCAGAGATAAGATAAAGAAGATAGGTAAAAGCGCTTTGACTGGATGAAGAGCGGAGACTTTAAAAAAGGAGGGGTGGAGGACCTTGGTGAGGGAAGACTGACATGAATTAATGAAAATCAAGCCAAGAAAGAGGCAGGATGAGAGGATGTGGCGAGAGAGAAGACTGGGTAAACGATGGGAAGAGCAGCAGGGTGGTGAGAGAGAGGGAGAATGACAGAGAGAAAAGGAGAGAGACCATTGTGTACCAGACCTGTGTGCTGGATGCCTGTTTCCATGGTAACAGGCATTTAAAGCTACACCGATGCGTCAGTGTGGAGCGGCCGAGTCGAGCTTTGATCATTATTGGAATAGAGGGCACACACACATAACACATGCAGAAATACACAAGTACACACCTTAAACACACACACGTGCAGCCTAGGTATACAGAATTTCATACACACATAGGTATACTATACACACATTCTCCATTTAGGCCTATAGGCATGCACATCGGTAAATTCTGCGAATGTGTGTGTGCCTGCATACCTGCTGATTTCAGAAGCAGTGACACATGTACAGAAATAGGCGCTCACATGATGTGTGTGTCATTGAGATTGCGTGGGAGGCAGGTAGCTTCAGAGCTGCCTCGGTGTCTGAGGACGTCTGCATCACAATGCTGCTGCTAACTCTCTGTGGAACTTCTTACAGTGTGCATGCCTCAGCCTGAGCCTCACTGTCCATCATAAGCATGCATCATTTACATAAGCAGTGGGGTTGGATTTCTGCTGTTGCCACACATCCATGTGTTGAAGTGAATATGGGGAGTTTGGTCTTGGCACCATGGCCTGCACCTCTGAAATCCTCAGGCATCCTTAAAATTTAGTGTAAGGCTAGGGATAAGTTTTCACAAAATGTATCTATTGTGGAATAACAGAGGTGAAAACACTGGATTTTATGGTGGATGTGTGGGGTGAATGAAAAAAACTCAGCTATTATTAAACCCACCTGCTGATCACAAACTGGCAAAGTAGCGACATGTATAAACAGTATATACGTATATATATATATAGGCAAAAAAAAAAAAATCATTTGGTAACCATGGTAACCATTGGTACAAGGTGCTTTTATTTTTGTCCTGTTTCTGGTTGTCGTTACAGATAAAGCTGAGTTGCGCTCTCAACTAATAGTGTTCACAATCAGTTACTTTCCTAT